AACTAGTTCAAATCGATCAAACCAGACTAGACAAAAAAACTAGCCCAATTAAAAATATCGTTAATATAATGATAGTTAATAATACTCCAATATTAAATAGGGTGTACGTCTTTTCTTTTCGTAGTTGTATTCTGCAAATTTTGTCAAAAACATTAAAGGCTTGGATTTTGAATCCAAATATGAGCATTTGTAATTTATTATACTCAAAAATATGTTTTTTAAAAGTATTTTTTGAGAAAATGCAGAATAGTGCATAGTAGAAGTTGATAATGTTTGAAAAAAATGATTTTGAAAAACTAAAAGTTGATAGTTTTTAGTGAGTAATTTTTGTGTGTAATAGAAAAGGTGATTTTTTTTTACTTAAAGCACCCTTCCACTTGGTTTCTGGTGCCTAATTTAATTAGAAGTGTTTTGACCTATTATTTAAATAGAAATTGTCACTTAAAAACACGTTTTCAATTTTTTAAATAAAAAACTGAAAAACCTTTTTAAATAATTGCAAACACTATTCTTGGATAGGAAAAGCTTTAATGTGCCTACTCTGTCTACAACTGTACAAATATGTGCTATAAATTAAATGACTAATTCATAGTTAATATATAAATATAATAAATGCATATGTGTATCAGGTGTATGTATATTACTACCTCCGTCACCCTAATATTGGCATATTGGCACCAAGAGATTGATGTGGTTTTTAAGAAAAGTACAATTATGTGATTGATAATGAGTTGATAAAGTGAGAATAAAGTAATAATGAATTAGAGCCAGACAAATGTTACTCCGTACAAAATATGATATGAGACAGTGATAGAGGGATATCCAAAAATAGAAAAATGAAACAATTATAGGAGGACGAGAGAGTAATAAAAATTGCACTAGATTAGGGCGGAGAAGTGGAGTTAGGGACCACCATCCTCTTTAGGTATGTCGTATGACCATGCTTCCTTGCCTTTTTATTAAGCCAATTCAAAACAATATTCATTTTCTTTATAACAAAAGATCAAATTATGTGGTCATCGATGTTCTAAAAGGCGTAAGGCTTGCAGAGATGGCATGATCAAGTCTGAAGCCTTTGAAGCCTAGGCGGATTTAGACGAGGTCTAGGCGTGAAACGATGTTTTAGTTTATCTTAATTTTTCTATTATTATTTTATATGTATATGTAATATTACATACAAAAATTACATTTTTCTAATATTTCAGTACAAATAAATTGAATTTTTATCAATTTTGAACCTGAAAGATAAATTCACTATAACAAGGAGTCTGAAAAGATAAAGCGTGTCAATATAAGACCCGAATGATTGAAAATTATCAATCAAAGACCTAAAATATCATAGATTTTGATTTATTTAATTAATTTTTTAATAATTCCACTGCTAGTTTTTGAAGAGTCTTCTTCATAAAAGTGTATTAGTTTAATACGATTATACAATATTTCAATTTTTTTTATAAATTCATGGTGTTTTAGATCTTAGATTGATTGTTTTCAATAATTCGGGCCATGTATCGACGTATTTCATCTTTCAGATCTCTTATTGATAGTGAACATATCTTTCAAATACTAGATTAATAAAATTTCAAATTAACTTGTTTGAAGCCATAAATAATAGGTTGACAAGCTTACTTACTATACAAAACAATGAATTAAAGAAGTTGATTATAAAATAATAATAGTAATAATTACTACGTATTACAATAAGTCAATAAGTCAAAACAAAAGTGACCTAGATTTCTTCCCACACCTTGGTCCAAAAGGTGGAATTTCTCACCCCAGGAGCCCCCCACCCCTACCCGATAGGATGGTGGAGAGGTTAATCACGGTGACTCAGTCAGCAAAGCGGCGGTATGTAGGCCTTATACACGTGCGCACCAGAGATCCAGCCTTATTTCAGGTTCTGTAACCTCCAGACGGGCGCTGCGAGTTTCGAACCTTGGTCACTTGGTCCAATTTCCCCACCACTCGACCAACTGAGCTACCCGTGCAGGTATTCCTTCCCACACCAAGTATGCTGGAATCAACATACTACGTACAACGAAATTCATGGAACGTCCCACACAGGATTTATACAAGTGAATGCCTTTTCCATTCCAATATAAAAACAAAAATGGTGTTTTGCTATTCTTCTACAACAGCGCGCGTCCCACACCGGAAATGTAGCCTTATTCCCTCACCCGTTCTTCTATAAATCAATAGGAGCTTCTGTCTCCAAAGTTGCTCTCTTCCACTCCTGCTTATGCGAGCCTAAATAGTCAACATTATAGATGACCGCCTTTTGCAACGCATGGTAGGTGTGCGGGCGTTAACCATACGCCTCACGCGCAGGCTTGCCGGGCGTTAACCATACGCCTCACGCGCAGGCTTGCATAGGAGGCGTGTTACGCCTCAGATTGTATCTAAGCGTGTGTACAAGTCAGCATTTCTTAATCATACAAGGTGTTCATGAACATAATATCCTCATATTCGGTACTAAATATACATAACAACATCACAGTTTAGATTAATTGAATGACGGAAATATTCAATAATCAATCATGGGCTACACATGGTCAAAACGTAGGCTCGCATGCCAAAAACAATGTAATAATATAAAAGTATCCATGAGCATAGTTTATCGTTTGAAATAGTAAAGGATGCACGAACCACGTCTTCCTCTAGATTCTCTTCACCCGTGCAAAGATGTAGATGACAAGCCTTAGCTTTAACCTGAAATGGTGGGCCCCCCAAAGGGGTCAGTACAAGTACCGAGCGAGTAGCAAACTAAATGTAGGATAACTAACGTTTCAAGTATAAGATCCAAACATAAGGTGATACATATACATGTGATCCTCCCCCCAAGTTATGAAATACATATCAGTATATACACACTCGGAAATACCTGGTCCGTAGGTCATTGTTTATTTGGGAAAATAGTAGTGGCCAATATTCTTGACCCAAATCCCAACCCACCCATATACCTATGTGTGTATAGGACTCCTCCTGGTCCAAATCAATTATCATAAGGACTTCACTTAGTCTATAATTCACAATTTATCATCTATGAGTTTTGAGGACGCTTTAGTCTTTGGACCCTCCACCATGAGTTTTGAGGACATTTGAGTCCTTGGGTCCTCCACCGTTTTCCCTATGAGTTTTGAGGATATTATAGTCTTTGGGTCCTCCACCATGAGTTTTGAGGACATTTTAGTCCTTGGATCCTCCACCATTTTACCTATGAGTTTTGAGGATATTATAGTCCTTGGATCCTCCACCATGAGTTTTGAGGACATTTTAGTCCTTGAATCCTCCACCATATTCGTATGAGTTTTGAGGACATTATAGTCCTTGGGTCCTCCACTGTATTCATATATACATCCCTATGATCTACCACATATCACACATAGATAGGGTCCCCATCATAGTAGTTTATCAAGACTAAACCAAGTCTTACGGCCTAAGCAAAATCATCCTTGCAATTCATGCATTAAAATTTACATATAGGCCAAATAAGGCCAAACCGGCCCCGGTTCAATCTGACTGGCGCTCGTTCACACTCAAATAATATGAACCCGGCTGAACCGTGCTCGACCGGTGCCGGTTCTACACATGACCGGCGCCGGTTACCCCCCAGGCAACCAGTCAACTCTTGGTTGACCCGTCATTTTAATTCCAATTCGTGTCAAACTAAATCACAACATGTATTAAGTTATAAACAACCATTACATGCACGTTTTATCTCCAAACATATCACATATGTTTTTATAAACATTTCCATATCACAATTCATGCATATTTCCATAGTTCATTTCATACAAGCCTAATCACTTGGCTAATCACATGTTTAATCTCTTTTAAACATCATTATGAACACATAACATTTACTTAGGCAATCTCATGCTTAACCCAAAAGTTACAAGACATTAAGCCATCCACTCACCTCAAATGAGTTTTAAGAAGTTCTACTCTTCTTAGTTGAACTTCGGCGAACTCCGGCGAAACTCCGGCGAACTCTAGAAACCCTTTAGTCAAGTTCCTAACAAGGTTTTATCATCATAAAACCCATATCAACACAAATAACCTCTAAAATATTATTTTCCGGCGAACCGGTCATTTTGGCTTCTAAGTCCGTTCTTGGACTTAGAACTACCTTCTAACCCCTTGTTCTACACTTCTAAACATGTAGAACAATTTTAGGGTTCCTTCATATGATATAAATGTCATATGATAGATAAAAATAGGAGAAAAGTTATTATAAGGTTATTACCTTAATTTTTCACACTTTCCCTACCATTTTCCTTCTTTAATCACTCCTCTTTGGACCTTCTTCCTTGAACTCGAGTTCAACTATGGAGAATGAGTATTTTGAGAGTTTCTCCTCTCAAAATGATAGGATTGGGCGAGCTAGATGCTTGGGGTGAGAGAGTGGTTGATTTTGTCTCAAATGACAAAATGTGTGATGGGAGGGAGGTCCTCCATGTACCTTTGATGCCAAATGCTCCTCCTCCACATATTCCTTTGTCAAATTAGTCCCTCACATTAATTTGAGAAACCAAAAACGTAGGTGTCCCCCACTCACGTGGGAGGTCATCCCATTATGTCCTGATGTGTACAATCGGCCCCGAAAATTGTATTTCTCGGACAGTTTTAACTATATTTTATTTTATCGGGTCAAATAAAATATATTAAGTGTCCTCAATCACCATGGCCCTATAGAATAAATAGTACATTCCCCAACAAAAATTTAGAAGACTCCGAAACACATTTCGGTCTGTTATCCGATAAATTGCCAATACCGGAAATTGGGCCTCGTTTGACCAACGGGTCAACTCTATGCCTTTTCCATGGCCCAAATAAAATATCCAACACCATATACGTAGTAAATATTATCTAGACCAAGATGAATATAATATGTGGTCCCGGGATTATCGAGTGGCCCCCGCTCCTGATGTGGGCCCCACGTGCAATTCACTATTCACGCGAAAGTAAAAACAAAAATTTACAACCTCGTAAATTCATGATCATTATTCAAGGTTTATTACATGATTTACTAAAAAGTAAATATACTTGGGGACAGTGTTACACGGCGCTTTTTGGCGCATTTTAGAACACTAGTGGTCATATTATATTTCAAGTGCACGCTTTATTTATTTAAATGCATCACAACAAAAGCCCGTATTGCAACGCTTTATGGAGTGTTTCTGTGTTAAATTCTGCAGTAATAGAACAATATGTTAGAGAAATAGTGTTTAAATGGCGAGTTTAGTCAGATAAAATCCTGAGTTTAATCACAAATCATCAGACAAACCACCAAATGCAAGAACAAATAAAAGAATAATAATTAGAAATAAAATATAAATGTAAAAGGTAGAAAATGAAAAACTTAGCGTAAGATCGTCCGTTAACCGGATAGGCCTTGAACAAAAAAAGCTCCCGTATCTCGATCGCTACTCGAACGGGACTGGCCAACTCGCTTCCAGGATAATCCTACTCTGTTTCAAACTTGTAGCTACCTTGACCGAAACCTTCGACCGTTGTCTGATTTGCCGTTGACTAGAGAAGAACCCACAATAGGAGAAGAATATAGTACGTACAAATATACTCCACATCATTATTGGACAATAAATTCATCAAACTAATACATTACACTTACAACTTTCACAGCTATGGATTCTAGTCATTAAATGAAATAGATCCAAACATGCAATGTAAGTTGTTCTTTAATGTATAATAAGTCACACTCAATTCATATATTATACCATTATTTATTTCATCATATTTCCAACACAATATAGGTAATAAGGAGTATGATTGAATTGATTAAATATGACAGTTTTAACTATATTTCATGTACCTTTTTCTAGATTTCTTAATAAAATACGCCATAGTACGTACGCATTAAATTTAACTTTATCATTCACCATTCACCACTCAATCACAATTTCATCAATTGCAGTACATCAAACTGTCTCTAAAAGATGGTACTCAATATAAATGTTCCAAAAGGTTGAATTTCCAACCCGGGTCCCCACACCTCATCCCGACAAGATTTTTGGGAGGATGTAAGTCACGGTGACTCAGTCGGTCCAATCATGATAGGCCTTATACCGTGCGCACCAGAGGTCCAGCCCAGCACGCATGAACTGTAACCTCAACACGGCCGCCGCTGGGAGTTTCGAATCTTGGTCAATGTTCCAAATTTCTCATCACTGAACCAACTGAGCTACCCGTGCGGGTATGAAACTCAATAAAAAAAAGGGTGGATAGACTACTTTTTTTTAAATTTGGAAGACACATGTACAATCATCATTTGAAATTTTATTTATACATACTCCCTCCGTTTCTGAAACAAGTTCCACATTTGACTTCACACATATTAAGAAAACAAATTTGACTTTACTGTGGAGTGCACTGTTTGGCACTGTTTGAACACTGTTTGGCACTGTTTGAACACTGTTTGACACTGTTTTGATGTAGATAATTTACCAAATAAGGAAATGTTTGAAAGTGGAACTTAATTTTGAATCTGCCCGAAAAGGAAAGGTGGAACTTGTTTCAGAAACGGAGGGAGTAACATTTTGTACAATCAAACTGTAATTATGTTGGGTGTAACGCAAGGTACAATGCTTGTACATAAAAAAGCAGGTACAGGCATTGGAGACAGATTAAATTGAGGCAGCGGTATTGGTCCACAGCTCTGCGTTTTTCACTTTGGAAACACTCTCCAACACTTCAAAAGGGACGATGTCTCCTATTACAACCACCATCTTCGTTTCCAAGTCCACTTGGTACGATGTCACTCCTATTGCATTGCAATAATTGGCCAGGAAAATGTATTAAAAATCACTCAAATTTTTATTTGCTGGACCTATACAGTTTTTTTCGTACTCTAAACATCAGTATCCGGCCATTTTATTAATGACGTAATAATTTACTCGTAATAAATTGTTCAAAATAGTTTAATCCATTTTGATCATATTAGCGCATGATCGAAATGCTTCTCCCTTTTATCCAACATTGCTCAAATACTTCATTTTTCTTTAAAATGAATTGAAGTAATAATCAATAAATCTATTAAACTGTTCAAAATTGGGGTAAAAAATTGCAGCGAAAATTATAAAATAAACCTAAGTATGGTGGCTTCTTCTTGAAATATGACATCCTTTTTATTTAGCCAAACACTATTTTTTAAGTCAAAGCTATTCAACTTTGACGGATTATATATCTATACACGGTAATATTGATAATATGAAAATTATATGAAAATGTTCTTTGTTAAAAATACAATCATAAAAGTATAAATTTATTAACTTTCACATAAATATATAATTAAAACAATGGATCAAAATTTATCATCTTTGACAAAAAAAAGTAAAAAATGACTAAATAAAAAGGGACGGGGTAGTATTTGTCATATAAAAAAATGACATAGTTAATCCTACTAAGAGAATAGAATAATATGGAGTAGAAGCTTTCCAAAATATGACCCAATGAGTCTCTTGAAAAGAAAACAACCATAATATGGAGGAACCGTTAATTTTCCTATTTTTTAATTTGTAAATACGTAAGTTGACTAAGTTCTCTTTACTTGGATGTTTTACTTCCATACCAAAATAAAAGATCTTTTTAAGTTGATATGTATTCCTTAGGGAGCGGTTTCGGAATAGACTCTTAGGATAGAAATGAAAATGAATCTTAACCGTTAGATTGTACAAAGTATTATATATGTGGAACTGAATTGTGCATTCGGTGAAACTGAAAGTTGCATTAGATAATATTAAAACGTGCAGAATAAAAATTTAAACTCAAGTGTGCATTAGGTGAAACTGAAATGTGCGGAATAAAAGATACTCCCTCCGTCCCTGAATTATCTTCAAACTTTCCTTTTTCATCCGTCCCAAAATTATCTCCTCCTTCCCTTTTTGGCAAAGAATTTGTGGTTCACAATCATTCTTACACATTCTTACACATTTCTCTCTCCTCTGCACAACTCTCCACCACACAAAATCCACTATCTTAATTAGTGTGCCCAGCCGAAATGGGAGAAAAAACAGGGACGGAGGGAGTACAAAATAACATCACATCGTATCTTTTATTCTGCACATTTTAGTTTCACTTAATGCACATTTCAATTTGGGAAAAGTACAGAAAAAAGGTATTTGTGGTTGAACCCGTTTTCAGATAGGGTCATGTGTTTCATTTTTTATCAAAGTGGTTCATGTGTTTGAATTCCGTTATCATAAGAGGGTCACACCGTTAAAAACGTCAGAAAAAGACCGTTACAAGTAACTCCGATTTTCAAAAGTGCCTGAAAAATTAAAAGAAAAATACCGAAAGGTGTGCCTCGTCAAGATGACCTCCAAAGCACATTCACCTTTGGATTTTTCAGATCTGTTTGAATTATTTTTTAAAAATGATTTCGCTAATATCACTTTTCCGATTGACTTTCCGGTGACTGAAAACAAAAAGAAAGATGGCCTAGCGGTCGTCTTATTGAGGCGCTTTTTTTGGGCACTTTTGAAAATCAGAGTTATTTTTAGCGGTCTTTTCAGACGTTTTTAACGCGCGTGATCCTCTTGTGATAACGGAATTCAAACACATGAACCACTTTGATAAAGAATGAAACACATGACACTATCTGAAAACGGGCTCAACCACAAGTATATATTCCTTACATTTCTCTTTCAATTTCACCCAATGCACAATTTAGCTTCACATAATGCTAATGTATCATGTTTTTTGCGTTGCACATTTCAATTTTACCTAATGCACATTACAGTTTCATCTAATGCACATTGAATTTCACTTAAAGCAAATCTAACAGTCCAGATTCATTGTCATTTCCCTGTTAAGATCATGTTTTTATTGGAATCAAAATCTATTCCCTTATTCCCTCAAGTAATCTGATCCAAATACATGTATTTGCCATTAACAGGGGCGGAGCCGGGACACTGGGCTGGACTGAGTTGGTACAAAGATATTTTTAAAAAATGTTTTGCACGGATTTTTTTACACTAAAAATATAGACAATTTTAAAATTTGACCCGGACCAGGACTGGCCCTCTTCTAGCTACGCCCCTGTTTGCCAAAATTAAATGTCGTAGTGTGCTTAAACTTTGATACTCCTATTTTTTTACTTACTCTGTACAGGGTATTATTGATAATATGAAATTATTCTTTGTTAATGAACTATCATACAAGTATAAATTTATCAAATCTTACATGAACATACAAAGTATTTGTTACAATAATGAATCAAACTTTACCATCTTTGACTCAAAAAGTCAAAGATGACTAAATGTAAAGTACTATCTCCTTTAGGGATGGAAAAATCTATCTCCTTTACGATAACGTTTTTCTCCAAAGAACAACGTCACTCCAATTAACAAGCTACTCCAAATAGAATAAACTGAAAGGAAAATTCCATAAATAAAAGTAAAAATTTACTTGTTATCCTAAACGTTTACTTAGCTTATTGTCTTGTTTTGTCATTATGTGTATGTTTTTAAACATGGTTATTTAAAAAAAAGGTTGATTTTATGGTACTCATATACCATACCTTTGTCCACATGAAACAATGAGAATGTAACATTTGAATTATTTAAATCTTAATTAAAAATGATAAAGTGATGTGGTCCAATGAAATGAATGATAGGTACGATACCCAATTTTTTAGAAAGGTACCGGAATTGTCACCTAAAAAACGATATTATACTTCCTTGGTCACATTTAGGGGATGCAAACTCTTTTATATTCTCAAACGTTTAATTTTTACTTCCGGTAGTTATTTGGAGCGATTTCTTAATTAAAAAGGGTCTTCGTCGTCCGTGTTCTATAATTAGTTAGTTGATGGATGTAGTACATGACAACTAACATTCAACCGATGTAATTAGTAGCTGATATTAATGCAAATTCGACAACTAATTATTTATGGGCAAAATAAAGTTCACCTCATGGAGTTCTCGTATTTTCTTTAGTAGTGGCGGAGCAAAAAATATATGATTAGGGGAGCGAGTTTTGAAAATTTTAAATTGTGAGGGTCAACGTTTAAAATTTGAACATATTTTCTTTAGATTCAAAGTATTTATGCATGATATATACTTAAGAAAGTTTTTCTTTACTCAAGGCCCCTCCGCATCTCCTTGTCTCATGTCATCAAGGGTCGTTGAGTATTTGATCATTAATTATTACTACGTATTACATTTGGATCATATTAGCTGATATGCATTAATGCTTCTCCTATTTAATATACACTTTTAATTACTTTTATGCATTTAATATTATCGAAAGTGTTTGGTTTCCGATGGTTGTCTTTCCATTTAATTAAGTACCCAAATATTGTTTTTTTATGGTATCATTTCTACAACTACAAATCAATCAAGGGAAATGATGGAACATAATTAATTACCTTCCATCTTAGATATGTGTTTCTCCACTTTCTTGGCGCAACCACAGCAGTGCATGGAGACCCTCAGGACCACCATCTATGCGTGTCAAAATATTAACAACAGAAATAAATTATGACCGCCCTAATGATTCGAGTTTGACACCTTTTTTTTGTACCACATACACCTTTCTTAAGTCATTCCACACAACATAAAATCAAATGCAATATAAAATCTATTATAAGTTAAAGTTGCGAATATATGATATAATAATATAAAATTTCAGATCTTAATTCATTTTCATTTACCCCAGTGCCGCAAAGGCTCCCACCTACGGTGAGGTAAGGGGGGTCGGATTTACGCAGTCTTACCCCTGTACTAAAGCACAAAGAGATCGTTTTCGAATGACCCATAGTGAAAATCTCGTCCAAAAATGCATGAAATGACTGCTGCTTCATAACAAAGAAGCGCATACATTTTAGTGAGCCATTTTTCTTTATTCCATCATAATCTCAAGCCAAAAAATTAATAATGAATCTTTGGCTCCATTGCAAATGATGAAAAAAGAAGAAGTATAAAGATATACGTAGTATATGCTAACATAACATATATGTGTATGCATGTCACGTTGATCTTTTAGGATGAAATGTCATATTTTAATTAATAGAAATTGCCCTAAATAGGAGTAAAAGCGCTCTGAAATTCCAAAATAGGAGTATCATGTTTTTTATTCCTTGAATAGGAGTAATCTGCTAAGTTTGAAAAAAAATATCATGTTTAAAAGCCTAGTAATGCCAAACTTGGCAGAAATTTACTCCTATTTAGGGAATAAAAAACATGATAGTCCTATTTTAGAATTTCAAAACTTTTTTACTCCTATTTAGGAAATTTACTCTTTAATTAAACAATGTAACAATAATTATATAACCTAACAGGAATAAATTAATACAGTAACATTCATATATCCTTTGTATAAATGCACCACAATTATTAGTATGTATGTTAATTACCTTAGGCTTGAGCTGAAAAGCTAAGGTGTGAGGTCCATCAGAAATAACATCTTTCAACCTATCAGCTTGCTGATGCCCATCCTTGCAGGGATTATCCATGAGTGGCCTTTTTTCCCAGTCAACCATAGCAACTTGACTTTTATCAAAACTATTTATGCAAAAACAACACCCTCCAGACGACCCAGAAGAAAGACACAATCTGTCTAACACCTTACCAATTCTTAACTTCCCCATTCAAGAAATAAAGACCAACTAATTAAATTTAAATATGTATGCATGTAAAGTGCTATATATATTTTTTAAAAAGGGAAAAAATTGGCACTAAACTCTTAAAGTATACTGAAGAATATGAGCTGCCTAGCTATATGAGAGCTTGTGATGATGATGATGATGATGAAAGGGCTGGAAGTTTAGAGGTTTGGGTTTGTTTTTACTTGTGATATGGAAGTGTTTGATAGGGCTAGGGGCTAGCTTAGCTAGGGCATAAGTTATTGACTCTTCATGATTAAGTAGCTGGTTTTTGGTAACATGCATGTGCGCATGCATTGATCATCTATATGGTAGCTTAGTTTCTTTGTAGTGATCATTTTAATATGCATAATGCATGTGAGAGAGAAGTGAAAATAGGAGATGATGCATGCACTGCTGTATACTCCCTCCGTCCCTAATAAATTTGCCAAGTGTTTGATTGGTACAAGAATTAAAAAAATAAAAATTGTGTGGCTGAGGTTTGTGCAGAGGAGAGAGAATTAACTGAAACCACAAATTCTTTACTTAAAAGGGAAAGTGGCAAAATTAATGGGACATCCAAAAAAGGAAAGTTGACAAAGTTATAAGGGACGGAGGGAGTAATTAGCTAAAGCTAAAGCTTTGAGCTAGTTTGCTAGGTCTTTTATATATGTGAAATGTATATATGTATTTATTATATATATACTCGCAAAAACTAGCAGCTGGCTTGTTTTGTATGGTTCAATCATGGAGCTTATTTGTACAAATGCATGGACCTCAATTCTACAACCATGGAGGCCTATTTAAATATAAGTAGCCGAATATGATATGAACCAATAAACTGTAGTACTATATATGAACTTGAGTTTTTTTTTCAAGATGAAATTTTGGATCTTGACATAATTTTAGACCCCGTTTCATAACATGCAATTATCTTAAAATTAATATTACTAAATAAGAGTAAAACATGATTGTTTTCCCTAAATAGAAGTCAATGTTTTATACGATAGTATTCTCTAAGTAGGACTAAATGTTACTTTAATTTTATACACCTAATACAATTAATATAAACAAAGCAGTCCATCAATGGCAGCAACAATGGTCAACGGGTAGTCCAATACTACCTCCGTTCCACTAAGATTGGGACGAGAAAAGGTGACACGATTATTAAGAAAAGTGGGTTTATGTAATTGATATTTAATCGATAAAGTAAGAATAAAGTAAGAATGATTTAGAGTCACACAATCTTTACCAAATTTGGTATGAGACAATCTTAATGGGACAATCTTAACGAGATGGAGGGAATAGTAGTTTTGTGGAGGGAGTAGTACTTTGAGCATTCTCTACTATCTGAATTGATAGAATTTGATGGAATTGATGTACTTTTAGAGCGGAATTGATTGGACTTGTTGAATTTATAGACAACTATACGTCCAAATACTACGATTGGAGTATATTTTATTAATCACAAAAAATACTTAACAAATAAGCTAAAAAATACACTTCGATCAGCAAATTTAATGACAAGTCTTATAAAATAAAAGTAGGAATTATCAAACGGTCTAGAATGAAAATCATCCATAAATATAGAAGTATTAATTTCCTACTGTTTGCATTACGCATGTTAATACAGAGTATATATTATTATGTCAACTCAAATACTTCCTCTGTTTCTGAAACAAGTTCTACCTTTCCTTATCGGGCAGATTCAAAATTAAGTTCCACTTTCAAACATTTCCTTATTATCTACATCAAAACAGTGTCAAACAGTGTTAAACAGTGTTAAACAGTGTTCAAACAGTGCCAAACAATGCACTCCACAGTAAAGTCAATTTTATTTTCTTAACATGTGTGAAGTCAAATGTGGAACTTGTTTAGGAATTGGATAGAGTAATTGATAGCAAATTAGGAGAATGATGAAATAGAGCCTGGCCAATCAGTGGGAGGCACGCAGATCATTTGTTTCTTCAAAGGAACATATATGTTTATGAGGCAGAACACTAGCCGGATTCAATCCGAGTCTAAATTAATCGGGTTCTCAAATTAGATTTTTAAAAACTAAAATCGGTTCTCTGTGTGGTAATTAATCTGGGTTGATTTTTACAAACTAAATTCGGTTGATTTTTTATGGATTTCTTGGTTAAACTTCAAATCTTTAGTCACAAAGAGCTTATAATACATGGCAAATATTTCTATAAAAATTAGAACATAAATGAAAAGGAATTACATGGCAAGCATATATGAAAGAAAGGGGGTGAACATCATACTTTATAGATGTGAACAAAACCAAATTCCCATTAAAGGTTTAAGTCAATTTTAAAAACTAGAAGGGCAAAAGGTCAATTCAAATAAGGTTTTCTATTATTACAAATTCATCACTTAATCCCTTGTGCAAAAAAGTACCCCATATCATATATGTAAGCTTACTTTAAATTAAAAATTGATCAATTTCGTCATTTATTCAGTTTTTGACCTATAATAATAGATTTTTTTAATTAAAAAACTCTAAAAAATTGAAATTTGAAGAAAGATAGATAAAAATTGTGAATTGTTTTAGAATTTCAAAGTCGATATTTTTGAAAAATTGAATTTATGTGTATATTCTACATCAATTTTAAAGTTTTTTTTATATTTATATTTAGATTTGAAATTTGAATTTATCACATTTTAGTTTTATATTTTTACATTTTCACTTTTTTATAGTTTCTGATTTTCTATTTTTTTATTTTAACGTTTTTTAATTATGGAGTATTTGTCTATTTTTGCATTTATTATATTTTTTAAATTATTACAATATTTTTCATACTTATATGAATTTCTATAAGATTTATCAATACTGCTAATTTAATTTTTTAAAAATAACCTACTATATAGTAGGTGAAAATGATCTGATTGATTGTATTTAAAAAGTTCACATACTTATGTGTTGATTTTTATTAGAAGGGCTTAACTGATGAACCGAATATAATAGGGTATTTGACCATTTTCCTCAAAGTAAACTTAAAATGAACGGTAAGTTGTTTACCGAGCAGTTCTATTATTACTCTGTAATCTAACTTCTTAGTTACTACTCCGTATATTAGTCCATCGGGATGAGTAACAGATCAGACACAACATGCACCATCATAACAACAACAACATTTAAGCCTTAATTCCAAATAAATTTTGGGTCGGCTAACATGAATCGATCTATGATATAGATACCAAACAGAGAAGACGAACAAGAAAGGGAAGCAAAAAAGTAAGATAAAACGAATAAAATAAAGATGAATAAATATTCTCTCCGTCCCAAAAACAACTTCAATTCACACTTCGTTTTCCACACATATAAAGGAAATAAAATTACTAGGGGGTAAATTTTACTATTTTGACACTGTTTGGACACTGTTTAGCACTGTTTGGCACTGTTTGAGACTGTTTTGATATAAATAATTTGCCAGATAAAGAAGTGGGAAGAAGTGTGCAGTTAATTTTGTGACTTCCATTTAAGAAAAGTGGGAAGTTGTTTTTGGGACGGAGGGAGAATAAGATATCGATAACAATAACACAAGAATATAAGAAAAATAAGATAAAAAATAAAAGAGCATAAAAAACTAGAAGATAAAAAACATAAGATATAAAAAGATAAAGAAGATAAACGATAAAAGAAAAAAGAGAGGAAAGGTAGAAAAGACATCAATAGTCCACACAGATGTGCGCCCTCCACTTTGCTCTCTCCAAAGCCATACTCTCATTTAACCCAAGAAGACGCAAGTTCTGATTCCTCTAATCCAAGTCTGTTCGGATCTTCCCCTCCCTCTCTTCTCTGCCTCTTCTCCCCACCCCACAAGTCGTCTAACAGGTGCATCACTCGGTCTTCTACGCACCTGCCCAAACCACCACAAACGAGACTCCTGCATCTTATCTTCTATATATAGGTGCTACTCCCACCTACTGTCTGATTATCTAATTTCTTAAGCGGTCTTTTCTGGAATGTCCAACGCAACATACGCATCTCTGCCACACTCATCTTTTGAATGTGACATTGCTTCACTGCCCAACACTCTACGCCATACATTAATGCAGGTCTAATTGATGTTCAATAAAATTTACCTTTCAGTCTAGTCGTCATACCTCGATCGCATAGAAATCCTGAAGCACTCTTCCATTTCATCCACCCAGCTCTGATTCTATGACATACATCTTCATCTAATTCATCATCCTTGTGAATTATGGAGCCCAAGTAACGAAACATATCACACAACAGTATCTCCTTACCATCAAGAGTAATCCCACTGTTGCTACTACTTCTACCTCAACCAAACTTGCACTCCATATACTCAGTCTTGCTTCGGCTCAATCTGAAACCTTTGGTCTTCAATGTTTCTCGCCATACTTCCAACTTTGCTTTAACACCGGATTGTGTCTCATCAATCAATACAATATCGTCGGCAAACATCATGCACCACGGTATATCTTCTTGAATTGACTTCGTAAGTTCATCCATGACTATAGCAAATAAGAAAGGACTCAGAGCAGATCCTTGGTGCACTCCGATAGTAATAGGGAACTCTGCAGTCGTTTCTACACTAGTGCGAACACTTGTAGTACAAGCATCATACATATCCATGATGATACTGATATACTTACGTGATATGCGTTTTAATTTCTAGTTAAGGTCCACCAAAGGACTTCTCGAGGTACCCTATCATATGCTTTTTCTAAGTCGATGAACACCAAATACAGATCCTTTTTAGTGTTTCTATACTTCTCCGCAACTTGCCTAAGACACAACATGCACCATGATAAGAATAAATAAACAATAAATCAAGAATTTATTGGTTTATTCATAACCACTCATACTTTTATTAAATGAACTGGAACACGTTATGTGCATATCGCTCACACTGATAATGAGAAAACAAAGCATGATCGTCTTTAATAATTTCAACTAAAATTTATATTAAGTGGCCGGAGCAAATATAATGAGGATGAGCATAGAACCTTATTATATTATCGCTTAAATGAATTAAAAGAAGTTAAGAACTACAACACGTTCCTTTATATAAAAAACTACAACACGTCATGACTATTTATATATTGCTTACACAGTTACACCGAGGATAATGAGAAGAAAACACGTGAGTATCTTTAATTTATTTTGCATAAAAGCTATACTATTATTCTAATAAGACGAGCAAATTTATTGAAGATGGTGCATAGGGAGTATTATTTTAATTTGATAATTTTATATATAAAAGAAATACGAATTGAAGTATCACTATTTAAAGGTTAGCACTCAACCACTGAACAAAGTGGCCGGCAATGAACATGAAGGCTTTGTCTTATTTATGGCCGAAATTAACCTTTTTTAGTTAATGCATCACAATTTAATTACTCCCTCCGTTCCTATTATATCTTCCATTTCACTTTGGCACACAATTTAAGAAAAGTGGGTATTGTGTGGTGGAGAGTTGCGCAGAGGAGAGAGAAATGTGTAAGAAATGATGTGAACCACAAATTCTTTACCAAAAAGAGAAAATGTAAGTTTAATTGGAACGGATGAAAAGGAAAGGTTGGAAAATATAATAGGATATGAGGGAGTAATATATACACTTGTGAAAAGCATTTTCATATTATTTTGTTACAAGGGCTTTGAAGAGCGGTTTGGGAGGCGCTAGTTGCCTATGATTTGGTTGTATCACTATTGTACGCCTTGACATGTGGATGAAGCGACTTATTTCTTAGCTTCGGAGTCTAGATCGATATCGAAGGTGCAACAATGACCAGACA